TGCTTTTAATGGCACTATTCATATTGTTCCTTGAAACATCTTCCATTTCCTGTTTCTGTATACCCAAGTCTTGCCCATCCTCTAAAACGTTACTCATGTGTTGCCTCCAGGAAGTGTTGTTGATTATTTCTGGCTGAAAGTAATTTCTTCCATGTGCATTTCTGAAATATTTGATTTGCACTTCTCTTACTGTTTTTCTAGTTTATGTCTTGTATTACAGTGTTTTCAGTCTGCTCTAGTTTGGTTTCTGTACTCATCATTCCTCTGAAATTGCTCCTCTGCAGCACCACAAAACTTCCTTTGGCCAAATTCAGGAGTCATTTCTATAGCTTCATCTTTCTTAAGCTCTTAGCACCCTCAGACGTTGCTGATTATTGCGTCTTTTTTTACTTAGTTTTTTTTGTTGTCATGAAATAACTCACACATATAAGAATATGTTGAAATATCTTACTTACATTTTAAAGTGTACCATCATCTTAAGGTACAGAATATTGACTTTGGAGCACTTCTCTGCCTTTACCTGATGGTTTCTCTCTCATTCCCTACTCCCAGATAACCATTATTCTGAATTGTGTGTTAATAGTTCTTTATTTTGCATTACAATTTTACCACATGTGTATGTGTCTCTAAATATTGTATTGTTTGTTACTGCCTTTGACCTCTGAGTAGAATCAAATGTATACTTCAGTGACCTTTTTTGTTCAGCATTGTTATTGAGATTCATCTGTAGAGATGCAGGTCGCTTCCATTCATTGTCATGGCTGTATAGTATTCTTCATAAAATATACCACAATTTATCTATTCAAGTATCTATGAACATTGAGACCGTTCTTAGTTTTTTACTGTTATAAATAAGGTAGCTATGAATATTCATTCATTCTTGAACATGTTTCCGGCTGTACACATTCAAGTTTCTCTAGGTCAGTGATACTTAAAACATGTGGTTCTCTAGTCAGCAGCATCAGTATCAAATGGTAACTTGTTACTCCAAACAAATTATTGGACCCCACCTAGACTTACTGTATCAGGGACTTTGGAGTTGGGGGCCTACTAATCTGTTTTTGCAAATCCTCCAGGTGATCCTGATACACATTCAAGTTTGAGAACCACTGGTATAAAGGTACCCTGTGTAAGATTAATTTGGATCTCCTGATTATGATTTTTGGCTTCCATATTCTTGAGATATTTTCTTTCTCTTTTATTTTCTGTGATACTTGAAAAATTCCGATGAGGAATCGTTTGCACCTGGCCTAACATGTTAGACTCTAAAAAATACACAAAGAAAGCCTGTTGCGTATATCCATGGCTAAACTCTCAAGACTTTGGCAAATCCTTAACCTGAAACTATTTTCTTTGATGATCAGTTAGCCTGCTTAAGGACATTCTGCTCAGCCTTTTTGCTGGCTGCCATCTAATCAATTTACCAAGAAGCTATATAAACAAGACTTAACTGTTGCTACATTGTACTTTGTTTTCTCAGTTTTCTCACCTCTTTCCTATGGTGCTGGTGGGTACCCCCCCCCCTTTTTTTTAAGATTTTACTTATTTATTTGACAGAAAACACAAGCAGGGGGAGTGGCAGGCAGAAGGCGAAGCAGACTCTCCACTGAGCAGAGAGCCTGATGTGGGACTCAATCCCAGGACCCTGAAATCAAAACCTGAGCTGAAGGCAAACACTTAACTGACTGAGCCAACCAGGCACCCCTGCTTTTTTTTTTCTTTTTTGGTCTTTTTTCTTTGATAGGTTTTTCATTGTCTACCTCATGTGACTAAATTTCCATGTAAGTAACTAAATATCTGAGTTATTCTTTAACACACCACAATCCCATCTTTCCTCCTGCATTTGTTACTCCTTTTCAGTTTCTTCTGCCAGGTCTTCCTCCTTTGCTCACTCTTAATATTGGAGTGCCCTGGGCCTTAGTCTGAGCTCCTCTGCTATCCTCTGTCTAGATGTTTTCTCTGGATGATCTTACCCAGGCCTGATGAATGACTCTCAAATTTCTGTCTCAAGCTTGGCTCCTACCCTAGGTCCAGATGTGTATGTTCACCTTGCTATTTGAGATCTCCATTTGGATGACTAAAAGATTTTCAAATTTTGTATACCAAAACAAAGGTCTGATTTTCATGCTGCTTTGCCTCCAAACCCATTCTTTTTCTAGTCTTTTCTGAGTAAATTATACAACAAATATTAGTTGCTGAAGCCAAAAATCTAGAAGTTATTCTTACTCTCTTTTCAATTCCTACGTTCAGTTAGTTAATAAGTCCTTTCAGCTCTTCCACATCCCTATCTGTCTATCTATCTATCTATCTGATATCCAATCTATCCATTGTCTTGACACCATCATTATGTCTTGCCTTGATTGCTGTGAAAGCCCAAGCTGGTCTCCTTGTTCCCTGCCCAGCTGTAATTCATTTTCCCTACAGGAATCAAAGTTGTCTTCAAAAACATGTATCAGACAGAACATATCCGTCCCTAAAATATAATCCTCCAGTGATTCCCATTGCATTTAGAGGAATGTCCAAATTTCTTGTAATAGCCTTCAAGGCTCTATATGAAGTGGCCTATGTTCTTTTCTCCAAGTATTTCTCCTATCATGCTTCTTCCACTCTGGTGTACTTTCTATTCCCTATCCACTTTCCACCTAGGGCCTTCATACTGTTCTTACTAGAATGCTGTTTCCCTGGGCTTAGGTCTTCCCATGTGATGCCATCCAACTTATTTTTTCTTCTGTTGCTCATGTTTTGGTGTCTAAGAAAGGATTGCCTAATCCAAGTTGACTTCCTTGTGTGTTTTATTCTAAGAAGTGTATTATTTTTGCTGTTAGATTTATTTTTTATTTATTTTTGTTTTTGGGTTTTTTTTTTTAAGATTTTATTTATTTATTCATGAGAGACAGACAGAGGGGAAAAGCAGCGAGCCTGATGCAGGACTCTATCCTAGGACCCTGGGATCATGACAGGAGCCAAAGCAGACACTTAACCAACTGAGCCACCCAGGAGACCTGCTCTTATATTTAGACAGTGGTCTGTTTTGAATTAAATTCTATATATTATGAGAGATGGGGGTCCAGCTCTATTGTATTACACGTGGATATCCATTTGTGATGTCTCAACACCATGTATTGAAAAGACTATTTTTTACTCATTGAATTATCTTGTCACTCTTGCTGAAAATCAGTTGACAGTAAAAGTGAGGGCTTATTTCTGGACTCTTAAGTGCTATTCCATTTATTTATTTGTTTATCCTTATGCCAGTACCACACTGTCTTGATTACTATAGCTTTGTAGCAAGTTTTGAAATAAAAACTTTTTTTTTTTTTTTTTTTCCTTTTTCAAGATCTTTCTTTCTTTCTTTCTTTCTTTCTTTCTTTCTTTCTTTCTTTCTTTCTTTCATTCTTTCTTTCTTTTTCGGTTAAAGATTTTATTTATTTATCAGAGAGAGAGAGTGAGTGCAAGTTGGGGCAGGCAGAGGGAGAAGCAGGCTCCTTGCTCAATAAGGAACTGATGGGAGACTGGATTTCAGGCCCCTGGGATCATGACCTGAGCCAAAAGCAGGCATCCCTCTCATGATCATTTCTAAATGCATAGTATTTCCTTGAAGTAATGTCATGTATAAACCGTTTGTCAATTATTAAATCCTTATTATTGGCGATGAGTTTTTTTGATATTTATAAATAGTGATGAAAGACCACACTTTTTTTTTTTTTTCTCTTTTTAAGATAACAGGTCACCTGTAGTTCTCTTTACCATCTAAACATCCTGGTTGGTAGTTACACATAAGTAATGATGCCTAGTAATAGTAGTTTTGCTTCATAAAACTTTTTACATTTTTGAATTTGATGTAGTAAAAACCAACTTCCCAGTTCCATATTAGGAAGTAAATCATACTGATCAAATGAAAACCTTTAATCTTTTGATAAAATACAATAGCTAGTACAAAATTCTTTTTACTTTTTTAAAGGAGTGGGGCTTTTTTGTTTTTGTTTTTTAAGAGAGAGAGAATCTTAGTCAGGCTCCACTCCCAGTGCAGAGCCCAAAATGGGGCTTGATCTCACAACCCTGAGATCATGACCCAAGTTGAAATCAAGATTTGGACGCTTAATTGACTGAGCCACCCAGATTCCCCTTAAAGGAGTTTTTAAAAATGATGTCTTAACTGCTACTTTTAGAAATTCATTCTTTGCACTTAAAAAAGTACATAAAGATATAATACTGAATAAAAGATAAGCTCTGTGAACACACGGAATTTTGACTGTTTTGGTTAGTGCTACATCTCTGGGTCCTAGAACAGTACCTGGCACATATTGGACCCTCAATAAGTATTTGTTGAATGGAAAGATTTTTAAGAGTATTTATTACAGTATTATTTGATATATTGAAATAATTGGTAATACTCTAAACATTCATTAGTAAGGGGTTGATTAAAGTATAAAATAACCAGCCATAAACTAGAAACACAGTTTCCTGGAAAAAAGGTTGTTCGATGTTTATTGACATTGACACAGTACTTCATTTTGTGATAGAAACAAGTGGAATAAACAGCATATATAAAATGGGATACCACTTTTATTTTTAGTATTTTTGATTAAAAAATACATCATCTACCTATGTATAGTAGTTCTTAAACTTTATGGTTTCAAGACCCTTTAGCAGTCCTGAGGACTGTGAATGGCCTTTGTTTGTGGGAGATAGATAGATAAATTTAGATATATATTTACCTTACTAGAAATTTAATCAAATTTTAAATTTACTTATTTGTTTAAAGTAAGAATAATGAACTTATTACATGTTAACATAAACAATGTATTTTGTGAAAAATAACTTTTTCAAAATAAAAACCTTTAGTGAGAAATGGCATTGTTTCGCATTTGTGCATATCTTTTTTAATCTTTAATATGTAGGTTAATAAAAAACAACTGGATTTTCATATCTACTTCTGTATCCAATCTGTTGTGATGTTTTGGTTGAAGTACGTCAAGAAAATCTAGCCTTATACAGATATGTCGTCAAAACAGGATAAAGTATTTTAATAATCTTCAGATAATTGTAGGTATTCTTCGTCGATACTGTACCAGAACTCTGAGAGGTAGTTTCTTCAAGATTGGTTGCAGTGTACAATTTGAAACCATATCAGTGATTTGTGTACATTCTGTCGCTAAAGTCCTTTGTTTTACATGTAGAATAGGTCTTTTACCTATGCAAGATTTTATAACTCATGCATGTTCATTTGGAAAATACTGGCTTGCTATTTATGTAGATCTTCCCAATGTTGACACATTTCAAGATTGATGTCTTTAATTCTTTAATATCACACCTGTCTCATTGCAAAGGTTTTCAAGTATTGTGAAGTTGTCAAGTAATAGTAATGGATGCAACTTTTTCCAAATTTTACTTTTCACTTGAAAGCTTGAATGTTATGATTGGTAACAAAGTCAGCTGTTTTTCTTGAGGTGACATGCTTGCTTCAATTCACTTGTTGAGAAAATGTCAGTGAAACAGCCAAGTCTGAATAGTTTGCCATTTGTTCATTTAAAAATACGGTTCTATAAAAAAAAAAAAGAGAGCTAATTCACATTTATCATAGTGATGCTTGAAAGACAAGGTATATTTAAAAAAATCCTCCAAATCTGTAAAAGTAAAAGAACCAAAAAGAAAACATAACAAAGTAGTAACTGTGCTTATCTTAGAAAGATGGGGAAATTGTGACTTTTTTCTCCTTTTGTTTTTCTATAATGAATAATATGTTTTTGTTATGTAATAGTTTCAAGAGTTATATAAAGATAAAAGTATAGTATTTATGGTATAACTTACAGATAGAGTCAAATGAATGTGAATTAAGAATAGTTAGTTCTTTTCTCCATTTTTCTTATTAGGATTTAGGCCCTGAATATGAAGATATATTTAATATTTCCTTGAAGTGGATTTTAGAAAACGGAAAAGATGTTGGAATAAGGTAAAGGATTTAATTTCCACTTTGACCATTTTATAATATAAGAAGTTTGACTTTAAAGTCTCCTTAATTATTTTTTAACTAGGTGCGTTGGTTATGGCCCTGAGGAACAACTGACAAATATATCCCATGTGCAGTTTTTACAGTCCACAAGACCGCAGATGTCTTTCTGGTGTCGTTTTCGACGTGCTTTTATTACTGTCACCCACAGGTTATTGTTGTTATGCTTGGGTAAGTTGTTGGAATGAGAAAGAAGACACATGATAGTCTAGAATTTTCTTATCTGTTTTTTACCAAATACCAGGGTTAAGAATTTACTTCTGTGATAGCTGCCATTATAAATCACATCCAGAAATCTTCCCTAAGGTAGAATAATATTGAAGTTGTCTTTTTTTTTTTTTATAATGTCATTATTAATCTAAGGGCTTAGAAAACAGTAGTATAAAGGGAAATGGAATAAAACTTTGTCATATTGATGCCTTGGAAATAGAACAGGGAAATAGAAAAATTAAGCTTATTGTTTTAATAATAAAATATAAATTAAGTTCATTAAAATTATTTTAATTTAAAAAATACCACTTACCTGCATTAAAATTTTCATTTGGATACCTGGATTTTATGTGACTTGACTATAGGAATTTAGGAGATAATCATTTTTTTTTTCTTTGTTCCAGTCCTTTAAAAATAATTTTCCTAAAGTGTAGTATGTTTACAGTCTTAGGAAACTTACTTTTCGTATGGTTTAATGTGGCAAAGCAAAATGTTTGTGAAACATAGTTATATTGTTTTTAAAAAAATAATAGAATTTAAATGTTCAGTTGTCAACATCATGAAATGGTTTTTCTAGAGTGATTAAGTGAAACTCTGGAAAATGTTTAATACTAAATATTTAATACTAAATTTAAAATACTTAATGTTTAATACTAAAGCCATTAAATACTAAATGTAGTTGTGATTATGTAGGTAATTCAACCCACTGTTTTGAAGTCTTATTCCATTATCCCTTATGGCAGTTAAAATAATCACTGTGCAAACTGTCATAAGTTCTCCTTTTTTGCTTTGTTTTGTTCATATCAGATTTAACAAGTATAATGATAACTTTAGATTGCAATGAATAATACTGAATGTCACTGAACACAATTTTTAAAACACAAAATATATAAATATTGCAGGTGTGGTGATGGTTTGTGTCGTTCTGCGTTATATGAAATACCGCTGGACAAAAGAAGAAGAGGAAACAAGGCAGATGTATGATATGGTGGTGAAGATTATAGGTATAAGTATTTGTAAAAATCCAAACCATTTCTTGAATAGTAGTTATGTGATAAATTACAGTATGATGTCCAGTGATTGATTCATTTGTAAATGTGTTATATTTTTAGATGTCTTACGAAGTCATAATGAAGCTTGCCAGGAAAATAAAGACTTACAACCTTACATGCCTATTCCACATGTACAAGATTCCTTAATACAACCTCATGACAAGTATGTTCAGAGTATCGTGAGTTGAAGTAGATCAGAATTTGGCATCTTCTGAAGTTATAAAGATTATATTGAGAGTTGTGGCCCTTCTCAAGTAGACCTGTTTTATTGTACAGGCTTTACTTTTTGTACTTTAAACTCTCCTTTCTTTCTAAATTCCCTTCTGTTCTCCTCCTGATTTTGAGTGGCATAATAAACAACTGGATTCCTAAATCATGATCACTTTTATACATTTTTTATTCTTACCAATGTTCACCTTATTTCCTTTAATTTCATCTTAATAAAGAAACAGAGACAGACAATAGCCAGTGATGTTTTACAAATAATGCCTTAAATATTTTGTTGTTAATGAAGCTTTTTAATTAAAAGGACTAAATAATAACTTCTTGAAAATGAAAGATGATTCCATATCCTCCCACAGCATTCTTCACCCTAGCAACACCCCAGAATCAGTGGTGAAGTTTGTGGGGGAAGATTACTGATGCTTGTGCCCCACCTCTAGAGAATGAAATCTGAAGTGAGGTTTAGGCATCTAAATCTTCTTTGAAAAAAACCTCATAGGCAGTGACAAGGAGAACCAGAATTAATAATAGCCATTGCCTTCACTTACTAATACTTGAAAAAGATGACAAGCCAAGATGATAGCAAATTTGTCATTTTGTCACATGCTAGGAAAAAAATGAAGAAAGTCTGGGATAGAGCTGTTGACTTCCTTGCTGCTAATGAGTCTAGAGTTCGCACAGAGACACGAAGAATAGGTGGTACGGATTTTCTAGTTTGGCGGTGGATCCAGCCTTCTGCCTCCTGTGACAAAATATTAGTAATACCTTCTAAAGTATGGCAAGGTCAAGGTATGTATTTTTAAACAATAACAACAAAAATAAACATGGTGTTTTTCTAATTTTTTTTCAACTGTGTAAGTCTTACATGTTTAATGTAAAATAGTACTGTTGAAACATATGAAGACAAAGCTCCCTTTGCAGTTCCATCCCATAGAAGGAATTAATGTTAGTTTCTTACATATCCTTCCACTTTTCTCCAGGCAAATATGGACATAATGGTTTGTCTTTACCATAACAGAACACTATATACACATTACTTTTTTTTCCTTTTTCACTTAAAGCAACTTAGTATTGTAGATCTAGCAGCATTCTTTCCCCCTAATTTTTATGCAGATAAGACATAATTTATGTTTTACATATATATGAAACATATAAAAGTGGAACATAACTTTTTAACTGCTCTTTTTTCCAATTTTTGCTTGCCTGCCTCTTTTTCATTAAGACCAACCACTTGCGTATTCCTTGTTCCAAGTAGCTTAAGTGGCTGTCTGTCCATATTTTTCTCAGTGCTTGGATGGTTGCAAAAACAGGTATATGTAAGTATATAGGAGGGCTTGGTGATTGGTTGCTTTAGGTTCCCAAACCTCTACTAGTAGTAACTGTTACCTCACTTGAATCTCTTGGATGGTTAGTTGCAAAATTAAATCTTGCAGTTAGTTTAATGTGCATTTCAGAACTAGTAGTCGGTTGAGTTTCTTTAAATCTTGTTGGATAAAAGTATATTTCTCAATGTTTGCTAAGCACAGTATTTATGAGAAAATTAAGAAAATTGTTTTGAAATTGCGAAAAAATAAAATCCACTCCCTTTCTTCTCTGATTTTTACTTTCAAAGAGCTTGAATAATAATAGTCTTCAGTAATCATGGCATAAAAATGATGCTTTAATGATGCCAAGGGTGACACTAAACATTAAACTTCTTGTTTTAAAACGGAGTCTGCAGAAGGGTCCTTTGAAGCGAAAAAAGAATGCAAAGCCAATGAGATCTGATTACCTTAGTTGCCTGATTGAAATGTTCTGTATTCTCAGCTTAATTTCTTCATATAGCTAGCAGTTAGTGCTCATATATGCCTGTGAAGTTCTAGAAAAGGTCATTATTTTGTTCATATACATTTTTTTTTAATCATTGTAGTTGTCTTATTTTTAAAATGTGAGGTTTTCAAGATGAATCTAAAGACAACTTCTTGACCTAGGTAATCCAAGTTGTTCTTATAAATTAGTAGGGGGGATCGCTTCTCGGCCTTTTGGCTAAGTAAGATCAAGTGTAAATTAGTAGGGGGGATGACAGACTCTTAAGTGTGTGAAATTGGATGTTCTGTATATAGAATTTAAAACCTCGGATTATTATTTTCATTTTATCATTTTCTCTAGATAGGAAAAGACTGTAAGTATGATATAAGACAATTTTAGGTCAGTTATAATAGTTGTAAAACTCAACATAAATTGATAGCTCTGAAATGTCCTGCTACTTTGTTTCATCAAAGTTCCAGTATAGTAAATGTTTACAAACTATATGCCAAGTACTGAGCTATCTTAATTTGAATACTTCTAAATGTACAATGTGAAGAATTTTAAAATCAATCTCCCTTTTCTTGACAGTCTTTGATTTTAAAAATGTTGCAGTGAATTAGTTACTGAATCTAGAAGGGAATTGAGGGTAAAAGAAGATGCCTGTTTTTAGTAAATTGAAAAAAAATATACTGGCTGAGATTATGTTATCCTGAAAACCGAAAATCCTGAGGTAGATAGAACCTAGTAGCCATTTGCTTGAAGTATACCAATTCAAGTTTTTGGAGCGTTAGAATGGTAAAAGTCTGTAGACTTCTAGCAAAAGGGATTTGAGTTCTCCTAAGAATTTGTTCATAAAAGAATTTGTTACAGGAACTGAATAAAGAGAAGTTGGTGGAATTTTTCTTGATGATAATTATCTAAATTGCCTCATTAAGAACATATAGCTCTAATCTATTACTTACATTTTATGCCATTAAATGTATAGTCTACCTAAATATAATTAATTGACTTTGCTTATAAAAAATATTAATACATAAATTAGTTTTTCTTTCGTTTAAATGTATCTGGACACAAATGTTGTGCTGAAAATAGGACTATAGGGGGGGGGTTGGGGCAGTTGTTTATGTAAAAAGATAGTTTAACTTATTAAGAGGCTTAATGTTTATCCTCTTATAAATAGTGCTTTAATTAAAAGATACATGGCTGGAGGATTGGTAATTATAGTAGTCTTTTGTATTCACTCCCACTACAAGCTGTTGTCATTTAATAGTATTTTTTCCAAATAATTGTTAAATAACCTTAGTGAATTTTAAGTTCATTTTCTAAAGGGTAGTTAAGTATAAATTGCATTCTTGCATAGCTTTAGTATCTCTAATGGCATTTTAAAGCACCAGTTAAAAATCAAACCATACCTGCTGGGGAGAATTATTTGTTTCTGACACAGGTAGTCTTCAGAATAAACAGCATTCATTTGAAGGATCTAAACATACTTCTTGAGGTATTTGAAATCACTGTCTCTTTGCTTGTACCAGGAGGTGATTGCAGTTTGGTTGGGGAGACAAAGTATATATCCTAAAAATCGGTTTGATCTTCACAACTACGTTGTGATTAGAATTGGCCAGGAATAACTTCTCCTAGGTCCTTGGGTCTAGGCTAGGATAACATGGTATTAGTGCTTCCATTTTCTCTGGTTCATTCCCTGCTGGCCCAGGCCAATATTGGAATTTTAAGGAACTCAGATTGCCTGCAACTAAAAGGTTATCCAAAAACACGAGCTGTACACTGCCAGGGACGTCTGGGTGATACTAGAGGTTCACAGACTTCTTTTTTTTATTATTAAAAATTTTTTTAAAGATTTTATTTATTTATTTGACAGAGACAGAGATCACAAGTACACAGAGTCTAGGCAGGTGAGAGAGAGAGAGGGGGAAGCAGGCTCCCTGCTGAGCAGAGAGCCTGATATGGGGCTCCATCCCAGCACCCTGAGATTATGACCTGATCTGAAGGCAGAGGCTTTAACCCACTGAGCCACCCAGGCACCCCCCCATAAGGTTCACAGACTTCTTGATGTAGGGTTTGGCAAAGATTTTTCATGTCTAGTGGCCATTGCCCCACCCCATATCAGGCACTGTTAGGACACTCACATCCCAGACATTTTTTAAGATACTTCTGAAATCTTTAATTGATACATTCAAGTCTTTTTCTTTTCTTCCTCTTTCAAGTCTTTATTTAAATTCCAGTTAGTTAACATACGGTATAATACTACTTTTAGGTGTAGTAGTGATTCATCACTTACATACAATACCTGGTGCTCATCACAAGCGCCCACCTTAATCCCTGTCACCTGTTTAATCCATTAGTACACTCTGAGCCATTAACTCATCTTTCAAACTTTCCTGCTTTATATATATATATATATATATATTTTATTAGGAATTCCCAGACTCTCCAGTTCTTCGATGTACCTACTTTTTCCAGTTTTTCAGTCTTCCTCCTATCTTTATTTCTTTTCCTGTCCATCTTCGTTTCCATGACCCCATGCCTCTCTCCAGTCCTTTTCTTGCTGCTACCCTTAAGTCATTACCTGTCCTTCATCTTAGCCTGGCAAATTCTAACCAAGGACGAAAGGATTTTGTCTGTGTGCAAGGAGCTGAGCATAGCAGTAGAAAATCATACAGATCTGCAGACTGGTACGTCATAAGTAATCAACCTCAGTTAGGCCCTCAGTACTACCTGACTTTCATGTTCTTATCATATTTTACCAGTCACTTCACTTTCTTACTCAGTAATAATTTTAGATTTCTTTCCATCCTTTCAGACCTTTACCCTTCTGTCTCCTAATTCTCAGTTGATGACCTGAATAGAAGCAATCAGATTTACCTGCCTCAGATTTCCATCACCAAGTAAATCCACGGCCAGAATCCACACTCACCCTCACCTCCTGTTGCATTTGAGGGGTGTTCTCACTTAACAAAGACCTGAGCCCTATCCTCCATAGGGAATGGTATTGAAGTCTTCTGGATCCCATCGGCTCTTCTTCTCAAGTCTCTTCTCTTACTGTGTACTAAATCCCTGCCTCTGTTGGATCTTTTCATTAGCACTTAAACATGCCGTATAGTCTTTCTCATCTTTAAGAACACACATTGTTAGAGGGGCACCTGGGTGGCTCAGTCAGTTAAGTGTCTGCCTTCGGCTCAGGTCATGGTCCCAGGGTCCTGGGATGGAGCCACGCATTGGGCTCCTTGCTCAATGGGGAGTCTGCTTCTCGCTCTCCCGCTACCCCTGCTTGTGCTCTCTCTCAAATAAATAAAACATTAAAAAAAAAAAAAAGACACACTGTTGGAGTATACATTGTTCTTTAGCTATCACTCTGTCTCTCTCTACCTATTTATAGCCAAATAGCATTAAACAGTTTACTCATTGTTTTTACTTTTACCTCCCATTTTATTCTTCAGCTGACTCCAATCTATTTTGCACCCCTCTCATTCCAAGGAAATAGTTCTCAGACAACCATATTGCTAAGCCAAGTGGACATGTTCCCTTTCTGTCCTCATTTTACGTAGCAGTGTTAACAGTTGCTTTAAAACTTGCTTTAAAACTTTAAAAAAGTTTAAAACTTTAAAACTTGCTTCTTGTGGCTTTGGGGATGCCACTTTCTTCTTGTTTTCCTGCTACCTTGACCATTTCTCCAGTCTTCTTTTCTGGACTGTCTTCTTTTCCTGGACCTCTAAGTGTTGGAAGTTTCTCAAGGCCACCCTCTTTTCTCATTCTGTCTTCTTTCTACTTATAGATGATCTCATGCTGTGACTTCATTTACCAGAGATATGTTGATAACTCCCAAAGTGCTATCTTGAATTAAGTCTTCTGGTTTTCAGATTTTTATACCCACCTGTACAGTTGTCTGCTGAGATATGGGCACCACAAATTCAGCATGTGCATGAATTTAGTATCCTCTCTCACCAAACGGACCTCCCCCGCCATTCCTGTCTAATTAATGATACCCTTTCTCAGTTAGTTCCACTATAAACCTGGGAGTTATCCTTAATTTTTTCCTTACCTCCCATGTATACTCTTTAAACAAGCCATAACAGATCTACTCCATATGTCCTCAATTGTATCCACTTCCCTCCATCAGCATTTCTGGCCCATGTTATCCACATTAGTATCATCTCTCTCTTAGACAACTATAATAACCTTCTAGGTCTCCTTGCATTCACTTTTTTCTCTGTTTAATCAGTTCTTTATTTAACAGTCTTTTTTAAAAAAATTATAATTTTAAAAGACAGATCTCATCAAATTATTACTCTCCTTAAGAAAGCTTGGAGTGACTTTCTGTTGCTCTCAGGGTAATGTCTAAACACTTTAATGTAATCTGCATGGTCCTCAGTAATCTGACTTCTCTCTCTTAAGGTTTATCTTTATGTTCTCACTTTAGCCACAGTGGCTATCTTAGTTGACTTTAGTTGACCACACTTTAGTTTACTTGATTACATTGAGCTCCTTCTTGTCTCAGGGGCTGTATGTAAGCTAATATATTTGCTTGAAACGTCCTTTATAGATCTTTTTACTCTGCCTATTTTTATTTATTCTTTATTCTTTAGGTCCCAGCATAAATTTCGCTTCCTCATCTGATATTTCCAGACTACCTTAAGTTACTTTCACAGCTTCCTGTATTATTCTTTCTTAAGATTTACCATAATTATAGGGTTGGTTTTTTTGTTTTTGTTTTTTTTTTTTGTTTTGTTTTGTTTCTGACACGGTTTCTCAACTCTCTCACCCACTAAACTGCAGCCTCTGTGAGAGCAATGATTGTATCTCTGATGTACCTTAACTTCCAGGGGTCTGGCTCCCAGTAAAAGCATGCAATGAATATTTTTTGAAAAGAGTAAATGACTGAATACCTTTCAACAAAATGGAACAGTGACAAATAGTAAAACTAATTTGTCTTTTGTAGCATTTCATTTAGATAGAAGAAATTCACCGCCAAATAGCTTGACACCATGTCTAAAGATTCGAAATATGTTTGACCCAGTTATGTAAGTATTATGATCAGAGGTATATGTAATTTTTATCTGGAATATTTGGAATATTCTTATAATGCTATGTCTGTAATTGAACAGTCTCTTTTACTTTTGAATCTCTACAGAAATGTTGTGTTTTCCTTTTCTTCGTCTTTGTTAAATTTCAGGCAAAGATTTGGCCAAAAGACCCAGATGTAGAATAATTTGTTAAACTTATACAAATCTTTGTAGGTACTATGAATCCCCACAGCAGATAAATGCTGGAGTCAAATTAATGATACACGTGGTGATAAACAATACCCTTTATTAAGTGTTTAAGTCTCTTCTGCCAACATTCTTTGCCTCAGACAATATACATAAAAATACCTGCTATCTTTAAACTTCCAATCTCTAATTGTAAAAAATTCTCTGCAAAGATGTACATACACACTTTCCTTCTCTAAGTCCTATTTGTCCATGCAGTATTTGAGAGACTTTTCTGTTCATTCAATATCTGAGAAACTTTTCTTTCTATATAATTACAGCAGCACATGCACCCAGAGATTAGCACTGGCAAAAGTTATTGCCTTAGAATCTCTAATATTTCATATATAAGCTGTAATAATTTTTAGAATTTGCTTCCTAGAGATGAGTGCTTATTTGTCCAATGATATGACAGGTCAGATTCTGTTTTGTAAAAAAAAAAAAAAAAAAAACAAAAACTGATTTATATGTATTACATATGAAATACCCATAAGTCTCATCTGATAACTCATTTATTTCAAGAAATAATTGATATGAAATTCCAAATAAGTGACAACAAAATTGGAAATGTGAGGAAGCACTGTAGTAACAGCCCTCTCATACTTCGGGGATTAGGAAATTAGTGCTGGGTTAGTATTTTGTTACCTGAGATGAAGATTTATGATTTCAAGTGTAGCCGCTTTTCCTTCATCCCACCGTCTGTATCTCATGAGTAAGACAAATATGTACCATTGTAGTAGGAAATCTTAAGGCACTCATAATAGTAAGTGACTCTTGGTGCAGAATGTTTGTCCTGTATTATTCTTCCATTATTTTGAAGAAGAGAAGCTCAGAATACATCATTTACTAGGAATTTTCCTAAAGTTTAGGAATTTGAAAATATTAACAAAAAGAGGTAATATGTGGGGCAGCTGGATGGCTCAGTCAGTTAAGTGTCTGTTTTGGGCTCAGCTCATGATCCCAGAGTCCTAGGATCGAGCCCTGAATCGGGCTCCCGGTTCAGTGGGGAGTCTCCTTCTCCCTCTCCTTCTGCTCATGCGTGCTCTCATTCTTTTTCTCAAATAAAAGAAAAAATACTCAGTTAAAAAAAAAAGACTTTATTTGGGAGAAAGAGTAGGGGAGGGGCCCATGCGCACAATGCAGGGGGTGAGGGAGAGGGAGAAGCAGGCTCCCCTCTGAGCAAGGATTCTGATGTGGGGGCTGGATCCCAGGACCCTGAAATCATGACCTGAGCTGAAGGCAGATGCTTAACTGACTGAGCCACCCAGGTGCCCCAACAATACTCAATTTTTATGAGTTCACTACAACTCATTAAAGTATTAACACTTGCTAGGAAGAAAAGAAATGACAATAGGTACATAAGATTTCAGATATAAAAATGACCGCACAGTTATTCTGCTGTGATGGGCCAATCCTTCACTGCCTCAGTTCTGTGCTTTCTTACATTGGAAAGTGAGAGAAAGTCTGGGACTGTGAATAACTAATTTTTTTTTTTTAAATCTATCTACTGTTAATAACAAGCATTTACTTAACTACTTACTAGTTTTAACAATATGCGATTTTGAAACTATTCCCATTCTGGTAGGATATATATGTTATAAGAGACAAGACTTTATTGAGTTAGGAGTATGGTTGTTGATTTTTGTTTTCATTAATTTTTAGGGAAATAGGGGATCAGTGGCATTTGGCAATTCAAGAAGCAATTTTAGAAAAATGCAGTGATAATGATGGCATTGTTCATATTGCAGTAGACAAAAATTCACGTGAGGTAAAGTAACTTTTACTGTTGAATTCTACATTTTGGATTTGTTGCTATTAAACTAAAACTTTCTCTTTTTTTCTTTCTTTCTTTCCTTTTTTTTTTTTTTTTAAATATCACAGGGTTGTGTATATGTTAAATGTCTGTCTCCAGAATATGCTGGAAAAGCTTTTAAGGCATTGCATGGCTCTTGGTTTGATGGTAAGAAGTTTGAGTATTACGAACATTTTGAAAAGATAAATTATGGCTTACTGTTAAACTATACCAGATTTTAAATTAAAAGAAAATTAGGTCAGCATTTTTAGAGTAATTATTTAAGATTACTTTATTTGCATATTGTGTTCATACGTCTTTTACCACAGTTTGTTTTCTATAAATATTAAGCACATTTTTACAGATCTAAAATATTATTTTTATCTTACAACAGGGAAATTGGTTACAGTAAAATATTTACGACTAGATAGATATCACCATCGCTTTCCCCAAGCTCTTACTTGCAATACTCCCTTGAAGCCATCAAATAAACATATGAACTCTATGTCTCATCTTCGTCTTCGGACTGGCCTAGCCAATTCTCAAGGAGGTTCCTGAAAAGACTTTCTTCCACTCCTAGGACTGGTATTTACAATAGGAAAATTCCTGTTTGGCTTCCTGTCTTCCTTTTAAATGCTTTTTGTATGTAATATTTTTATTGAATACAGCTCTGTTTGAATGTTCCAGAAATCTTAAGGTTCCAAAGGGACTTAGCAGTGAGGCAGCAGTGCTGAGTGGTCAGAACAATTGTTTCATTCAGTTTTTGGAGCTCAGTTAAGCCGATGCATTTAAGTTTTGCATGAGGAACATTGACTTTATTAAGCATTTTCAGATGTGGTGATTGTGTTTTTGCACCACAGAGTGTTTGGATAACCACACAAAAGCATGGTGAAGAGGCTTCTTGTATTTCCATAATCTCCTGTGAACTAATGTTGTGAATTTTTGTATACAGTCACCTGCATAGTTCCTTACCAGGCTAATGTGGTAAAACTGTTAATTTCCCAGTTTAACCTTAGGTTTCTATTGCTTGTAAGAGATTCATTTGTTACAGCTGGAATACAGGAAAACTAATTTGGGTTTAGCGGTTATATATAAGCATAGGTGGGTGTACATGTACTTAACCTGGCTTTTGTATATATGTATAAATGCTGATGGTGGCGAAAGTAGTCTTGTTTTGTGAGGATGTCTGCATTAAAGCAGTAAAATAAGCTTCCTATTTTATTCATAATCTAATGTGTATATATGTATATGTATATATGTGTGTATGTGTATATATATGTATGTGTATATGTGTATATATACACACACATATATACCTATGGCTGTACTATCACATAGATCAAACAGCCAAACACCTGGAAGTATTAGATACAAGTTTAAAGTATCTTTTATAAGTTTTATATAAAAATGTCTGAGTATGATTTTGTGTGAAAGTTCCGATCTCAGTTGTAATGGATTCAAATTTATGTGAGCAATAAAGATGCAATTGGCAGATATTGGAAAAGTATTTTGTGAAAAGCTGTATTTATTATAAATACTAGGACTATGACATAGTACTATTGGGATTAAGTCACTTTCCCAATCTATTTATAATTTAATGAAATGTCAGCTCCCCTGTTGTATGTCAAGCTTAAAGCAGGGCATATTGCTGCAGCAAAATGTGTATTTGAAAAATTATATTTGAAATTTTGGGTCATGACAGCTTGCAATATAGTAAATGCACGAGTGACCGTCGCTTTGTGCCTCGGTATTTACCTTGTTTCAGTAAAGTTGCTTTATTACTGTTTATGATTTCAGATTAAAATAGATGCTGAGCAGAGTTTACTTGTAATGTAACAATTGGCTTTTTTTTTTTTTTTAAGTAACCTGTTGATATATCCTTGTCAGTCCAAATGAATATGTGAAACAGCTGGAATTGTACCAATTTTGATTTTGTTTAAAGCTCAGTTTCCTTTTTGTTTAATTGTATATGTGTTGGGTTTGCAGCATGAACTTGCACAGATAATGCACGTTTTCTGGTTAAGTAAACATGATGCACACTGTTCTGTAACAGAAAACCCTATTGTGCCTTACCTGTGTGCTTTTGTGGGCACCATGTTTATGAAGAATAAAAAATGATTTGTTATCTGAAGAGAATAAATTTTAAATTCTCAGTTTATGTTTCAGATGCTAAAGTGTGAAAATATAAATATATATATAATATATAATATAACCAATCTATCTGTATTTTATGTGCATCATAGTGATTTATCTGAGCTTAGTGACCCCCATCTTGTGACCTGTTGCAAGAGTGAATGTAAAAAATAGTTGTGGCATTTTAAAAGGTCGCCTTTTGATGCAGATGCATCTTTTTTTTTCTTTGCTTCTAAAACATATTTTATGTAAACATTGTACATTTATTATTGTAATATATACTATTATGCAGCTTATTTTACCTGAAACTGTTAAGCCGACCAAGATCCCTCCCTGCAAGACAGATGGGAATGTGTATAATAACTAGATATTTGAGAAGTTCTGAAGTTTGATGTAATCTGTTACTTGTCCTGTTAAAAAAAAAGGAAAAATTCTAATTAAAAATTTATTAGGTTTTTTTTAAATGTGTCTTGGCTTTTAAAAAAAACTTTTTAAGTGCCCTGTGTCTTTATTTTTTTAACCAGTGAATAGATGCCTTTATTTTAAATCTTCTTGGGGATGTGTAAATATATATATGCTCATAAAGATGGATGAAGACCCTAAAGTTAATTTTAACCATCCATTCCTCCGCATCTTACTTTTTTTTATGAAAATGTCTTTTTCTAACTCTCAAGTGTTTGGATCAAAGTGAGGCAAGACTATAAATCAGCTGTTATCACTAAAGCAGCACTGTTTAGTTTAGACATTTTTTCATAGCAAGACTTTCTCAAAAAAGGGAGCCATTCTTTTATACATTCTGCTTAAAACTCCTTATCTCATTATAAACCAACAGTTTATGGGCTAGCCTCTTTGAATAGCATTGCTTTAGAATTTTTGATGGTTTAATCAAGTAAAAAGAAGACTTGATTAGTCAGTCAGTTGGTAGACTCTTATTTAAAATCGCTAATGAAGGTTAGGCACTGTTACATGTTAGATTAGAGATGCAAGGATGAAAAAGACATGGCCAAAACCCCAAGATGGTCCCAGTCTAGAGGAAGAACATAGAACAGATAAGTTAAAAGATAGTGTGGAAAATATAGTGAGAGAAAAAAGCAGAAGAAATTCTAGGAGTATGGGGAGGCACATTATACTTTTTTTTTTTTTTAAAGATTTTATTTATTTGTTAGGCAGGCAGAGGGAGGCTCCTTGCTGAGCGTAAGGAGCCTGACGTGGGACTTGAACCCAGGACCCTGGGATCATGACCTGAGCCGAAGGCAGACACTTAACAAACTGAGCCATCCAGGCCTCCCATGTTATGCATCTTAATAGAGGGAGAAGACATTAGGCATATGCGATAATAGTTGAGCCATACTTTAGTTCAGTTTCACATGTATTAAACGTGTCTTAATTAGTATAGGTATAATAGTAAGTTTCCTCTCCTTTGAGCTCTTTGGGGAGCTCATAAAAATTGATGTGTGGAACCCGAGTTTTTATAAAATCCATTTTCATATTCATTGGTCTGTTGAATCCTGAATACCTTGTGAATGCCGAAGCCTGATACTCGACTTCATTACATTTTCCTTGTACGGTATTGACTGTTTGGATGACAAGTTGTGAGCTCTGAGTGAAAAATGACTTATTGTAACATATACCCAGAAAATTTCCTTTAATAAGATTGACCTGGCAGTTCTCACTGCTCCTAGTAATATCACATTACTATAGGTCATCTACATGGCTTCTTCGCCCTTTTTTCCTAGACTTATCTCGGCAAGTCACTTCTTCCAGATGACTCAACAGAGGATGCTAAATCAAGCAGAATTTGGGCAGCTGCTCTTTTGGAAAGGATGCTGAGGAACAGGTACTTAAGAACTGAAAATAATTAGAAACCAAAAGTGTATGGTTTAAAGAAACTGAATGTCCAGGATGCTTATTCTCTTGGTCCAGTAAGCATGAGTAGCTACTGCCTCTAAGCCTCATTGGAGAAACTTTATGACCAGAAATATCTCCTGATGGTGGATTTAAACACATGAGAACCTCTGCTAGGGGCAGCAGGATAGAGTCATTTTGTTGATTCTTAGATTTTTAAAACTCATAGAACCTGTGTACTTAGATTTACTTTTTCTTCCATGGATGGACATTGGAGGCTGGCACATGCTCCTGAAATTGAAAAGAAGGTTATCTAGGCATAGAGAGCAGATAAAAAAAGATTGATGAGATACAACCTACTGCATGTACACAGTACCAGCAGTGTCTTACGGTTCAATTACTGAATATAAAAGTGGGCAGTGATCAGATGGCTTTGTAGGTCCCATTATGAAGTTTGGATGTTGGTTGTTAAAGGGAGTTCAAGTGAGGATTGGTTTTGATGAAAAATGGAGAAAGGATTTGACAAATAAGATAAAATGGGAAGGACTTAATTGGATATTGGGAGATAAGTTGATGTCCAGTTTTCTAGTGTGGGAATTCTAATTGCAACATTTAAGATGGAAAAGATAATTGAATTTTTGGACATTTTGAGGTTGGGATGCTTATGGAATATTCATGTGGATGTTCCTAGCAAATGATTGGATTTCTAATTCTGTGGAGAAAGATCTGAGCTAGATACAATTTGGGCGTTAAAACCAGGAAAGTAAATTGGATGACCCAGAAAACGAACGAGAGAATCCATACAGAGGCAGAAATATAGTTCACTACCAATTCTCCCGTACTTAACTGTATGGTTGGGGATGGCGTGAAGTATTCAGGAAAATTTGAAACAAATTAGAAGGTGGAATTTGAAAAGTTCCTTGGCATGAAGTTGAAGTGGAAGTTGTATGACTTGGGCAACTGGTTAGATGGTGGTGACGTTTCCTAAATTATGGGTTACTGGACTGGGGATGAAGAGGTCAATCGGGGTGCTAAGTAAGATTTCTCGGAATTGTAGCAGTTAATTAAAAATAATCCTCTGACTTTTCTAATGTAGAACATTTTTGGAGGAAGGGCAAGATGGAGCTGTTTAAGAATTCTCCTTTCCAAAAACCAGAACTGTTAACTTACATAATATTCTGACATTATCTATGATTCTCTGATATTGATTAGAAATTTTCCTGGTTTGTAGGGAAATGAGATGTTGAGTAGATCTACAAACCTGTGATTGTCAAAAGAAAGAACAAATACAAAAGTTGGTTTTAAACAACTGTTCATAAGTGGTTTGCCATATACCCAAGACTAGAAACTTGCTTGAAGCTATGTATTATACAGCCTTCATAAACTAGTCAGGTCTTCCAGGCCTGGAACCATTTCTTGGCGACTTCATTTCTGCTTTGATCTGATGAATTAATTTAAAATTTTAACTCCTAATGGGCAGTGTTACTTTTGTATTTCCAAAAAGTTGCAATACTTCCTTTTACCGAAAACAAAAAACCAAAAACAACCAAAAAAATCCCCCTACTGATGTGAAGATTTTAGTGGCTTTTAATTTCCTACTGAATAATAGCCAAGTTTGAGTTGGTATTCAAGGCCTGCTTTTATTTAGACCAGTGCTTGTCCAGTACAAATATAATGCCATGTGTCATTAAAATTTTATGATGGTCACATTAAAAAGTAAAAAACTGGTGAAGTTAACTTTAATACATTTTATTTAACCTTATATATTCAGGATATTATCTCAGCATGTAATTAAAAATTTTATTAATGAGTTATTTTATATGCTTTAAAATCTAAAATATATATTACACTTACAGCTTGTGTGACTTACAGTGCTAAAACTTACATGGTTGGTCACCTTATTAACAGGCCGTCTCAATTCAGATGCTACATTTTCACTGAAAATACTTGATCTATATTTCGATTTTTTAACCTCTACTATTGGAAAAATTAGATTCACATATCCAAGTTCTTCCAAACATATATAGAAGTTTTCCTATAGCTGAATCAGGTATCAATTTTTAAGTACATTAATTCACTTTAAAACTTTAATTCTTCAGTTATAGCAGCCATATTTTGAATGCTCAGAATCCAAGTGTAGCCGGTGTCAACCATGGTGACAGTGCAGGTCTAGACCAGTACCTTTCCAGCTGAATCCCACTTACTTTGCCTCTGTGTTCCAGCTGAACTGCACTGCTTGACTTTCACGGACATATCTAATTCTTGCTTGATTATGCTTTTAATGGCACTATTCATATTGTTCCTTGAAACATCTTCCATTTCCTGTTTCTGTATACCCAAGTCTTGCCCATCCTCTAAAACGTTACTCATGTGTTGCCTCCAGGAAGTGTTGTTGATTATTTCTGGCTGAAAGTAATTTCTTCCATGTGCATTTCTGAAATATTTGATTTGCACTTCTCTTACTGTTTTTCTAGTTTATGTCTTGTATTACAGTGTTTTCAGTCTGCTCTAGTTTGGTTTCTGTACTCATCATTCCTCTGAAATTGCTCCTCTGCAGCACCACAAAACTTCCTTTGGCCAAATTCAGGAGTCATTTCTATAGCTTCATCTTTCTTAAGCTCTTAGCACCCTCAGACGTTGCTGATTATTGCGTCTTTTTTTACTTAGTTTTTTTTGTTGTCATGAAATAACTCACACATATAAGAATATGTTGAAATATCTTACTTACATTTTAAAGTGTACCATCATCTTAAGGTACAGAATATTGACTTTGGAGCACTTCTCTGCCTTTACCTGATGGTTTCTCTCTCATTCCCTACTCCCAGATAACCATTATTCTGAATTGTGTGTTAATAGTTCTTTATTTTGCATTACAATTTTACCACATGTGTATGTGTCTCTAAATATTGTATTGTTTGTTACTGCCTTTGACCTCTGAGTAGAATCAAATGTATACTTCAGTGACCTTTTTTGTTCAGCATTGTTATTGAGATTCATCTGTAGAGATGCAGGTCGCTTCCATTCATTGTCATGGCTGTATAGTATTCTTCATAAAATATACCACAATTTATCTATTCAAGTATCTATGAACATTGAGACCGTTCTTAGTTTTTTACTGTTATAAATAAGGTAGCTATGAATATTCATTCATTCTTGAACATGTTTCCGGCTGTACACATTCAAGTTTCTCTAGGTCAGTGATACTTAAAACATGTGGTTCTCTAGTCAGCAGCATCAGTATCAAATGGTAACTTGTTACTCCAAACAAATTATTGGACCCCACCTAGACTTACTGTATCAGGGACTTTGGAGTTGGGGGCCTACTAATCTGTTTTTGCAAATCCTCCAGGTGATCCTGATACACATTCAAGTTTGAGAACCACTGGTATAAAGGTACCCTGTGTAAGATTAATTTGGATCTCCTGATTATGATTTTTGGCTTCCATATTCTTGAGATATTTTCTTTCTCTTTTATTTTCTGTGATACTTGAAAAATTCCGATGAGGAATCGTTTGCACCTGGCCTAACATGTTAGACTCTAAAAAATACACAAAGAAAGCCTGTTGCGTATATCCATGGCTAAACTCTCAAGACTTTGGCA